CTCGTCCATGGACAAGTCTTTGTGAAAGCAGGAGAGACATTTTCGGGGGCCCTGCCCCTACCTGTTGCGGCACCATCCGGAAACCAGACTGGCAATCTGGTGAACGTTACCCCGAAGCTTGTTGCGCTGTTAGCGGCCAAGACAACGACTGCGAATGAGAGTGCTGTCGTTGTCGAATTTGACCCAGAGACTGTGACTGTGATTACGGATTCTGTTGATAATGGAACTTTGACATGGACAGCCCCATCGGACGGAGCGTATGTTGTGATTGCCGCTTATGCTCGTGGCACTGGCCAGATTCAGAATATGTATGATGGTAAGTATTGTTGAGTTGGCATAATATCAGCCTCCGTCTAACGTTCAACAGGACAACCCGATGGACCGAAGGTTTACTATACCCCTGGATATATCGTCGATCACTTCAGTGAGGCTGGCGTGCAAGCCGGGGTGAAGTACTGGGAAGAGCACATCCTCACACCAGAGCTAACTGCACTCCTCCGCGAGTAGGTCTCATCAGTCGTTAGCTGCAGTTGAAACCTATTAACTTATCCTATAAAGAAGCAATGGATCCATCTTCGAAGACTCGCTCGAGCTCAAGTACAAGCAACTATGGACCCTCAACTTCACCCAAGAGTTCCAGGCCCGACGAGGATACGACATCTCGCCCTTCCTCTTGTACCTGCTCAAAGACACAAACACATTCACCGGAGACAACTCCACCGCAACCAAAATCACCAACCACTTTTACAAGACCATCACCGACCTCTACGTAGACTACCGCTTGAAAGGCGTCACTACCTGGGCCAACACCCTCGGCCTGAAATTCCGCGTCCAGCCCTACACCCTCAACTTCGACAGCGCCTACATCGCAAGCCTCCTCGACATCCCCGAAGGCGAATCCCTCGGCTTCGACGGCGCGCCCGACTCCTTCCGCGTCCTCGCCACCGGCCGCGACATCGGCGGCCGCACAACCATCCTCTCCAACGAAATCGGCGCCTACTTCGGCAAAGCGTACGGCGTCACCTGGAAATTCCTCCTCGGCACGGCGAACCTCGACTCGGCCCTCGGCGTGAGCCAGAACGTCATCCACGGGTTCCCCTACGAGGACTCGCCGAGCAGCCTGTGGCCCGGCTTCGCGCCCTTCACGCCCCTGGGTGCTTCGTCGAATGGATTCGCTGATGCGTGGGGTCCGAGACAGCCGCAGTGGATGTTTGCGAAGGCGGCGAGCAGGTACTTGGCGTTCTCGCAGAAGCTGCTCCAGGAGAGCGGGGCGTCGGTTGATGTTGCGATTTTGAACCAGGGTTGGGGCGTCACGGCGGCTTGGGATGATAGTAGTCTCAACGATGCGGGGTATTCGTACCAGTTTCCGACGCCGTATCTGTTGCAGAAGCATGGCGTTGCGGTTCAAGATGGGGTTTTGGTGGCAGATGGACCGGGATATCGCGCGCTAATTATCAACAACCAGACAACGATGGACATTAGCACAGCCGAGCTGGTGCTATCGTATGGGAAGGCCGGTCTACCTGTCGTCGTCTCCGGTCACTCGCCAAGGACGACGTTTTCGTACTACGCCGACCAAAATGCTGCTGACGAGGAGCTGGCTTCGACATTTTCTGAAATCTTGATACTTCCGACAACACGTGTCGTTTCCGGGCCCGAAGCTGTCCCAGAGGCTTTGTCGACCTTGGGCGTATCCTCCTCTGTTGAATACCCACAAGGTCCGGGAAATAATAGCGTCATAACATACAGACGGACAGTTGGGGACGGCTATCTCTATTGGATCTACAACAACGGCGACGAGCATCTCCAGCTGCCGGTTAGACTTGCGGGGGCCGGGGCACCGTACGACATAAATCTGTGGACCGGTGATGTGAAGCCCGTCGCTGCCTTTACGGCCGAGAACGGCTACATCTTCTTGAACGTCATGCTGGCTCCCGAGGCGGTGTCTACCATTTTGTAAGGGCCTACTTCTTGACCTAAACGTCGCTAACATGAAGTCTAGCGTTGGATCTTCAAACCCATTCTCGGTCCAGCCTCTGTCAAACCACCTCACCTCTACTGATTGTCGGGCCGTCGCCAACAATGGCACGGTGCAAATATCTTCCAACACGACATGCAGCGCAACAACATCGACGAACCAGACCGTTACACTCGACGCTACCGATATCCCGGAGTCCATCACGCCTTCTACGTGGACGTTGCGAGTACAGGATTGGTCACCGCAATACCCCAATGCAACCGGTAACGCCTCGGTAGCAACATCCAAGACTTGGCTTGCGCCCATCCAGCTGACCTCGCCGCTTGTGCCGTGGACCAACATCACCGGGCTCGAACATGCATCAGGCGTTGGCGTCTACAACACCACCGTCACTTTGGATGTCGGCAGCGGTGCGGATCTGCGAGTGCTTCTTCACATGCCCGAGGTTGAAGGATCGTGGGGACTGACGATCAACGGCCAAGAGGTGGAAGGTGTGGATTGGTTCGCCAGCGAGCCGATTGATGTCACGGATTATGTTACATTTGACGCAGAAAATGGTTCGTATTGTCTTCAACGCCAGCTTTCCAGCCGTGCTAACGATGCCTAAAGCTATTGAGATTACGGTTGCCACGAGCCTTTGGAACAAATTGATCAGTGTCTGGCCGGCCGTGTATGGATCAGAGGTGCCGGTGGCGAACGGACTGGCAGGATCTGTAGTCCTAACCATGGAAAAGATTCTGGTTGTATCTTAGGACTCAACCAATTTACTCGTTAGCACTATTTGCGAGGTCATTGACAATTGACGAATGTATCAAACGAAAAGATTGGACCAAAATGTCTTTTAATTATCCAGATGATGACGCTGACCTCCCCTCTCTAAACACACTACCCTTCCCATACAAAGTCCTGCTCAACCCCTGGAATCAACGGCCGAAGCGCCATACCATAGTCACCAGCATTAGGAGTTCGTAGTAGCGTGTGGATATGAAACTTGGCCGGCTCCTTGTTCGTCAGGAAAACTCCAGAATGGTGGTCGAATTCCACGAGGATGACTGGGCTCTGAACACGGTAGTAAAATGGGTCTTGGTCGCCATAACCACCGATCCAGCTGAAGTACGTCTCCTTGAAGAAGGACTTTGCGTGGTTGATGCGAATATCCCGGGCCTTCTTCGGCAGGTAGAGGAGGTACTGCTCGAGAATACCAATCACCAGCTCCTGCTGCTCCGCCGTCATATCCGCCACCAAGATACCCTCGTACGGCACGATTCGGTTGTCTCGGTAGGCGCCACACAGATGCCTCTGGTCGTCGTGGTTCCACCTCCCCTTCGGCATCGCTGGGTCCTTCAGCAGCTTGTACGTTTGCGCCTTCTGTTGCAGATTGGCCGGGAGGGACTGCATCAGCTGCAACCCAAGCCTCTCCTCCGTCTCCAGGATTCTCGTCCCCTTGTACGGGCCGTCATCAATAAGGTTCGGCTCCGCGCCGGTGAACCACGGCGACGCCACGATCTGGCCCTTATACAGGAAGATGTTGAGACACAGGTGGTGGCCGTAGAACGAGTACCCCCACGGCCGCGTCGCCGAGGGCGTGCCGAAGAGCACAAAGTTGTATGAGTACTCGTTGCAGATGCTGGGCGCCTTGACGAGCTCGCCGAGGAAGCCGTTGATGCGCATGGCACCCAAGGCCTTGGCGTAACCTTCGGGCGACAGGGTCGCCTCCAGAACCTTGAGGATGCTCTCCCGGAGCTGCGGCGTTAGCTCGTCAAGGCGGAGGCCCTTGTCGCTGAGGAGGAACTCGGGGTTCGACCAGGAGCGCCACTCTGGCGAGTCGACATGGTAGGAGAGGGTGACCTTCTGTTTGGCGTCTAATTGGGAGAGGACGGCGTTGGTGGCGTCTACGATGTCCTGGATCGGGATGCCCTCGTCGGCTAGTTGGAAGAGGTCTCTTTTTACGGTGCCTGTTGTGTGTTAGCTCCCATTGAGTTCCAGTGTCTGACTGAACTTCAAGATCTACTTACCATCTGTTGTGATGCCGGTGTATGGCTCTTTGAAGAGCTTTCGCCAGTGCAGATACAGGGCGTGCAGCCATGGCGGGTTTCCGCCCTCTTTGAACTCTTTTGCGTAGACGTGGGCATCCTGCTTCTGCATGGTTGTGAAGCGAGGTATGCTGAGGTCTGGCAAGTGTTGGCGATACTCGCCGCCGTGAAGGCTCTGCTCTCCTCCACAAGCCATCTTGTCGGTCTTGAGATGTGACAGCAGCACACCAAGTCGTTGAGTTGGTATTGCTCGGTGCTTTGGGCTCCTCGAAGATGCTGTTGCTGATTTCATGCACCGCTCTCTCCAATTGATAGCTTGAATAACAGAAAAGATGAATCAGTCAGTTAACAAACGACGTGCTCAAGGCTGCGAAGTCGGCAGATTAATCTTCAGTCACTCTCACATCGATCACGACCCATCAGCCCACATCAAGCAAAACCGTATCAACTGCCGCGGGTATGTCACGAAGCTGACGTCGGCGACCATCGGCCCATGTGCCCCCGACATCTGTACCCCTCACTTTCCGGCCCCTCATCCCACTTCGTTACACCCCTCATCCTCGCATCCCCCCCACCCGACCCCAGAGCTGCGCCCCTGGCCGCGCCCGGCTTTTCCGCATGTCATCAACTCTGTAGGAAAGCAACCAATGGCGGTGGGCGCAACATCTGGCTTAGCGCAGGCCGAGAGTGCGGTTGCGCAGAAAAACACAGTTCAGAGCTGCTGTGGCTTGTTGTGTGACACTTCCCGGACCTCCGAGCCGGCGAAATCCCCAAAACGCCCATCGGCACTTGGTGCGGGGAGCCCCAGTCGGATTCCACGATTCGGAGACGCCTCCCACCAACCTCTCGACCCCTCCTCTCCGCGAACGCCATCCGAACTTGCATTTGAAGAAGAGCTTTGGAGCTGGGAAAATCTTACGATATCTCGCCAGAAAGCCTGGATCTCAATTGGGAGCATTCACACACACACGCACACTCACACCGCCAACATGTCTTCGTCATCAACCTTCTCCCGTAAGCCTTCCCTTCCTCTCACCCGGCAGCCGTTCCGGTCCCCCTCATGAGCTCGTTTGCTAACCAGCCCCAGGCCTCGTGCGGTTCGTTCCCCGTGATGCTCCCAGCAAGGTGCTGATCGGAGAACCGGAATCAGAGTCAGTCGACGTCGGCCTGGCTGTCCGGGACGGCAAGGAGGTCAAGGTCGCTGTGTGGTCCGGCTCTAGCGTGCTCAACCCCGGCAGCAAGACCGACCAGGTGGCCGTCATCGACCGCGTCCTTTCGCCCGTCTCGGCTGAGGAGGTCGGCACAATCCGTTGCATCGGGCTGAACGTGAGTGATCTCCTTATCTCCCATCACATGAAGGGGTAGGCAATGCTGACCCGAGGTGTAGTATGTCCAGCATGCAAAAGAAGTCGGCGTCGCCCTGCCTGACGTTCCCACCGTGTTCCTGTAAGTCGATCTTCGCAAATCTCACGAGAAAGTGTCCGGTCGCTGATAGCAATCACAGGAAGCCCAACATGGCGCTGGGTAACCCCTGGCCGGAGCCGACTGTGCTGCCGCACCTCACTCAGGCTGACGACTGCGGCGACTACGAGTCCGAGCTGGCTGTCGTGCTCGGCAAGGCGTGCAAGAATGTGTCCGAGGCGGACGCCATGGACTACGTCCTGGGCTACACTGCCTGCAACGACGTCTCCAGCAGGACGTACCAGATGAACCAGTCGCAGTGGTGCTTCGCGAAGGGCTTTGACGGTTCCTGTCCCTTGGGTAAGATGAAGTCCCAAGATTTCCCAAGGCGTGAAGGCAGAGGTGCTAACGAGATGATTTAACGTAGGACCTACAATTGTCTCAAAGTCCCTCATCCCGGACCCTACTAAGCTTCAAATGCGCGGCTTGAGGAACGGCGAGGTTCTCCAGGAGAGCGGCATCGAGTAAGTCTAGCCCTTAATTCATCTCAAAATTCATGTTACTGACGTTGATATTTTCAGCGACCTCATCTTCAGCATCCCCAAAATCATCAGCTTCCTGTCCCAGAGCACGACGCTGCCCGCCGGTACCGTCATCATCACTGGCACCCCTGCGGGCGTCGGTCTCGGCCGCAAGCCCAAGGTGACCCTGAAGGACGGCGATGAGTTCAAGGTTGAGATTCTGCCCCACATCGGCACTTTGGTCAACGTCTTTGAGAACGAGAAGTAGGGTGGTCGGATTGGGCTGTGGCGTGTGGTGCAGAGATCCATGTAACTCTAGACTATGAGACTAGGTTGATTAGAGTAAGAAAGCGGTTTTAATGAGACGAAATAAAGAATAGAGCTTCGCTATTGGATGAAATCTGACTTCAGTGGCGTGGCATGCTGAGAGACTTGAAGTCGCATACAACATGTAGCACTGATGAGCTCACTCACATGCAGGCCTAAAGAGTGGCAGGCTGTTCAGTCAAGTGCTATCAGCTGGAAATGACCAAGACATCGAAGAGAGAACTCATAATGTCGAAGACGATGTCTCGTATGATTACCTACGAATGAATTTCGGTTGAATCATCCCGTGAAACCAGTACGCAGCCATTACCATTTTAATCCTAATGTTCACAATTCAGATGGGGCATCTCAATTTCAGATCAATTCAATCATTGGTATTTTCTCTACGAAGGAACCAGCATGTAACTCTTTACTGATCAATCAATGGGGGAACGACCTCAAGAAGGTGCTCAACAATAGCATCAGGGCCCCTCTCAACCTGCAGTCCATGCGGAATGGCGTGCGTCTTGATGTCCGGCTTGATTGACCTCGCCGTCGACATGATCTGGTTGGCCTCCTCCGTAGTCCACATTGACGCACAGAACTTTACTATCGTCAGATGCAATTTCTCTCAAAGGGGGAATATCAACTCACCAGGACATCAGGCATGTGCTCCTTGACCTTGCCCTCGACCTCATCTATCCCTGCGAAAATCGTCAGCTACCAAGCACAGATGTCATGTCTGAGGAAATGGCTTACTCTCGCAGTTTGCAACATGCTCAATCGTGTACCGGTCCTTGAGAGCTTCAATCATGCGGCCGACAAGGCGCTTCGCGCGCTCAGGGGCCGTGTTGACGGTCACCAGCTTGTAAGGACCCTTGGGCGCCATTGTGCGGGGTTAATAGCGGAGGTGGAGGTGGTGGTGGCAGTAAGACTGGTATGAACTTTTGAGACGACACAACAAGAATAGCGTCTTGGTCGGATGCAGAGTTGCCAAAAACAGAAGTTGCTAAGAAATAGACTTGTCAAGAGTCCTGAAACTTGTTGTTCCTCGCAGTGACAATCAGGGAGAGCGTCTAAGTTTGGGCAGCTTGGTTTTTGTCGTGGGATGACATGCCGAGCCCCGAAGCCGCTGACAACAGCGGCCAATATAATCGGCAGATGACTGCGCCGAGGTCGCTCGCGCGCATATTTCGCACATACGAAAAACCGCCGAAACACACTCATCACACAGCAACAGCTGGGCCACCAACAATAGACCCTGGAACCTCTTCACGCAGCAGAAACCCGTTGCCGGCTTTGCCGATTTCGCCTCCGTTACGAGACCCCCGTATATCCACTTCTCCATCCTTCCATTCGGCTTGATTCCAGTGGGAACTTCGTAACCAGTCGTGAACAGTGGCCCGCCAGGCGGCTGGGAGACGCCGCGGCGACAGCGACTCACGGAAAACCCGAGACCCCGGATTTCCCGCCAGCGCATCCAGCGCCGTCCACCACCAATTTCAATTTCCCACTACTGCGTCCACCCAGAAATAATGCCCCCGCGGGACGCTCCCGCGCCTCCGGCTCGCAGTGTGGGGGATCTCCGGGGAAGCCTACAGCATGGGGGGGCGGCAAATTAGGCAGAGAAGGGGGACTTGCCGGAGGCGCATTCCCAACAAAGATTTGAAGAAGAACATGGGTTGAACACTTGGATCGAGCTGTCTTTTCGATCCGACCGTGTTTTTGGTGGTGCATTCTTTGAGTGGTAAGGGAGTCCTGCCATTGCGACCGAACCCAAACTCTCTTTTTTCTACGCATCTCGTCTCAAGTTCTTATTGAAGCTGCCGAGCCCGAACGACGACACTATGTTTCGGTGGCTTAACTCGTTGATTTTCCCAAGAGCGTCAGCATCGTCGGCTGAGAAATCTGACAACATGGCGGTGAGTGGTTATTGTCTTTGATTGACTCTACGCGTGGTTATAGCGTGTCATGGTAGCTAATATGATGAATCAGGTCACTGCTCACACCAGATCATCAGTACAACTGGAAATCATAGTCGTCGGCGCCGGTCTGAGCGGCCTCGCAACAGCAGTAGCGGCAGCCCTCTCAGGGCACAAAGTCACAGTCTTTGAATCCGCAAAGGAGCTGCTCGAGGTGAGATCTCATCATCTCATCATGAGATTTCTTCATGAGATATTGACAGAAACTTCCCCAGGTCGGAGCAGGCCTGCAGGTGACGCCAAACTCCACCCGCATTCTGCAGAAATGGGGCCTCCCAGATCGCCTCTGGAAATCCGCCTCGGAGCCCAACACGCTCGTCGTCCACCGCTACTCGGGCAGCGTCCTCGCCAAGGAGGAGAACTTCAACAAGAACATCCGCGCAAAGTACCAGGCCCCCTTCATCGACCTGCACCGCGTCGACCTGCAGCTGTCCCTGTACGAGCGCGCCAAGGAGCTTGGCGTGCGCTTCGCCCTCGGCGAGAAGGTCGACAGCATCGACTTCGACCTGCCCGAGCTGACCACGCAGTCCGGCGTCAAGGCTCGGGCGGACCTGATCGTCGCCGCCGACGGGCTGTGGTCGCGCTCGCGGGCGTGTTTCTTGAAGGCGGACGACCCGCCGCTGGCGACCGGCGATCTGGCGTACCGCGTTGTGTTGAACGTTGACCAGATCAGCGACCCGGAGCTGAAGGCGTGGATTGAGAATCCGCAGGTGCACTTCTGGGTTGGGCCTGGCACGCATTGTGTGGGATACTCGATGCGGGCGGAGAAGATGTATAATCTGGTGGTGCTGGCGCCGGATGACTTGCCGACGGGGGTGAGCAGGCAGGCGGGTGATGTCGATGAGTTGAGACAGCGGTTTGAAGGGTGGGACCCGATTTTGAGGAAGTTCCTTGATGCTGTTGACAGTGTTGAGAAGTGGAAGTTGATGCACAGTAAGTTTGTTGATGAAATGCTCGCTGCGAACAGTCATACTAATGCTGCGTTTAGGAGAAGAGATGCCCTCATGGGTGAGCGACAAGTCCAACTTTGTGTTCGTGTAAGTGCTTCATCTCAGTCGCTATTTATCGCTGGATGTTCGCTAATGACTGTAATTCAGTGGAGATGCATGCCACCCCATGCTCCCGTATCTCGCCCAGGGCGCCAACTCAGCAGTGGAAGACGGCGCCGTTCTGGGTCTCTTGCTGGGCCATCTCACCAGCAAGTCTCAATTGCCGACTGCGCTGAGATTGTACGAGAAGCTCCGCAAAGCCCGCGGTGAGGCGATTGTGAGGGAGACGTTCAAGCAGGTGAGTGCAGCTGTTCATCTGGCACGCTGATCAATAGCTAACTTCACGCCGCAGCGCCATGATTTCCACATGCCCGACGGCCCAGAGCAAGAGGCCAGAGACCAAATCTTCCTGTCCCAGCTGGGCAAAGAGCTCAAGGGGCCCTTCCCGAGCAGATGGACGTGTCCCGAGGTCCAGCCGTGGCTGTACGGCTACGATGCGTACAAGGAGGTCGAGGAGGTGATGAAGAGCGACCCATTCAGCAGGGCGAATCTTTAGGGGATTTTGTTATCCAGGCAGCGTTTCCAGTGGGCTGCAGGAGAGCAGCGACTCAATTTTTGTTAGCGACGGGATTTTTCATGTACGGGGTAATACCAGCTCTGGAAGGGTGCCATGAGATCGGCAAGGCATATTATGTACACTTCAAATCATTAGCGATATATCAAATAACATCATTTTGCTTGCACCCGTCGACCACCAGCGGATTGAAAGGGGACCGAGGGCTGAGCCGTCATCCGGGCGCTGAACCGCCGAACAACACGGAGCTCCCGATCTCCACCACGATGCGATGCGACGCGCCGGCACACTGATCTGCGGAGGACACCCACGTTCTTGGGCTGAAAACAACCGTTTACAAAATGCCTCTCTGCCGAAAAGAGGAAATGACAGTATTGCGCCCACCTGCAAATCTGCAGTCAGCAATCCCAAAGACCGCCCGGGAGACTGTTGCTCCCTCCAACCAGCGTCATATTCTGGCAAAGTGGCTGCAATGGGCTGAGACACCAACACTAAACTCCTTTGAGGAAATGGATGTGTCCCTGTACAACGCTCGCCCTGCGCGATATTGACAGAAGATTTAGGCACGATGTGGCACAGCACGTGTGAAGAGCGATCTTGTCAGATTCTTTCCCTCGAAACTTGTCCAATAGCTGCGCGTGATGAGCCATATCTGACAGCGAGTAAACACAGTCCGCCTACCTGGTAAGATGTCATAAGGCTGTCTGTCCCCAAAACGGCGACGTTTGGCTGCCGCCTTGCGGTGCTGTTGACCGTTTGCTGCGTGCCCCCCGTCGAATAACCCAATTGGGAATACGACACGGCGGCGGTGCGATTGTGATTGACTGCCCGGCTTGTTGGGCGGCAACGTCACACAAGCAGGGTCCCTTACTTTTGAGGTCTGCTTATTCTTTCAAAAGGATGTTGATGCCGCTGCGTTCGTGAGCTTGGTCTCTCTTGGAATTTTGTCCAAAGCTTACATTGAAACATTGCATAAAGATCAGCCATTTCCCTTGGCCGCTTCATCAACACCAGGCCTCTTCAACACGACGACTTCTATAACAGCTTTTGAGAACCGCTCTTCGACAGCTTGATTTCGCCACATTGATGTTCATCGGCTGAGGCTTACTTCGATACTAATATCTACAAAAACCCCTACAATAGCGTTCACGACCATCGGCACCTGCTGGACCGCCCTCAACCGCCGCAATGGCGGCCCCAAGATCTGCCCTCCTGCGCCAGATTGGCATCTTGACAATCAAGAACTACATCATTCTAATATCTCGACATACCGGATCAACTATCTACACGGCTCTAATCCTTCCGATCATTCTCACAATCTACCTGGGAATCGGTCGAAACCTCAACGGGCCCCAAAACGACTACGGCATCGCTGACCCACGCGCCGTTCGATCCCTACAAGACGGGATCTCCGCCG